AAGAGAAGTTTCAAAAAGTATAAGTTGATCTATAACTTTAAGACAATTTATTAGAATTTATCTACCTATCTAAAGTATTTCTACTTGAATTAATTAATAGAGAATATTTTTGTTACAGTTCGAAAATATTTAATGAAAATTTTAATCAACATTTTCTTTGTACTCTTACTGACAGTTGCAAACGATGTGACGCTTATAACATGAAAATAAAAAGCGGTGTAAGTGTAGAAAAAAGCAGAATGGAAACAGAAAACGAGTTACACCTAGGGAAAGCAGAAGCAGCTCGAAGTAATATGAAGAAAAATACAGAGAAGGACAAAGATAATTTCTACAGAAGTGGCTTATTACAAGAGACAGCTCTGGACGTATTGTTTTGGCATACACAATTTAACGACAGATCATATACACACGTATGTATATAGCATGAAGCACCTCACGGTGCCTACAAGAAATTAGTTCTTGCATATTATACTACTTAAAAATGTTTGTTAACACACCGGTTTTGATCTTCTACAGCGATCACTGCTGAGGTCAGAATCAGAAATATTAAACTGGCTTCCATTTGTACATATGACTGTCTCCAATACTTTCAGTCCTACGGTCATAAATCACATGTTTCTAGTTTTCGGTCACTCCTATTTGCCATGTGACAGAGACTTTGAAGTGATAGAATAACAAAAACAATATTTTAAAGACATTTTTCGCCATGCGATTGGGTGAAAATTTTAAGTGTACTGAAAAACTAGAGAAGTTACTTAGAAACCGGAGAAAAGGGGAGTAAGATATAATAGTAGGATGGTTTAAAATACAGTGTTTAATGTTCAAAGCAGAAGAGCCCTTCAAAATTTCTTTTAAATATTCTAATAACGAGAGTGTAACGAGAGAACTGTGTTGACATCTCAAAGAAAAAAGAACAGACGTCTTTCAGATAAAAAGAGAAGACTTCTATTTGGATATCCTCTATCCCACTGAAAGACCTTCAGAGTCTTCTTCGTTACATTTTACCGGTCTATGAATTCTACATAAACCTGAAGACAAACGTGGATTCAATAGATAATAATTCTTCTTCTTAGAGTGCCGTCCCCCTATGAAGGTTGGCAATCATAATGGCTATTTTTATTTTTGAACTTGCTGCTGTAAACGAATCAATCGATCTGCATTGATACCAATAACGTAGATTCTTCAACCATGAGTTCTGCCTTCGGCCAACAGATCTTCTTCCTTGAATCTTTCCTTGTATTATGACTCTCAAAATTTTATATTTTGATCCCCTCATCAAGTGGCTTAGGTATTCCAGTTTTTTGGTTTGTACAGTGGTGATTAGTTCTGTTTGTTTACCAACCCTCTCCAGTACTTCTTTATTTGTAATTCTATCAGTCCATGATATTTTTAATACTCTACAGTATAACGAGAGCTCGAAAGCCTTAACTCTTTTGAAATTGCATTTTTTTAATGTCCAAGTCTCAGCTCCATATAATAATATTAAAAACATATAACAGCGTAGAGCTGTAATAAAAAAAATTAAAAAAACTGCTTTGTGATTCTCGATTAAAACTCGAAATTCGACTACGTTTATCAAAATGCTACGTCTGGTCGACTCTTCTATATGTAGTTGAAACGTGGACCCTTAAAACATCAACCGTAAATAAATTGGAGGCCTTTGAAATGTGGATCTACCGGAGAATACTCAAAATTTCATGGTCATCGCATACCTCAAACGAAGAAGTGCTGCATAGAATAGGCAATGAAAGAGAACTTTTTAACACAGTAAAAGATAAAAAAAAATCATACCTAGGCCACATACTGAGAAATAATAAGTACCAATATGCCCAATTATATTGAAAGGAAAAATCGAGGGAAAGAGTGGCCTAGGAAGGAAAAGACTATCGTGGCTCAGAAACATCCGACAATGGACAGGGCTAAATTAGGATTAGCTAATAAGAACAGCTGAAGATAGAGAAGAGTTTAAAATTGTAGTAGCCAACCTCCATTGAGGAGAAGGCACTTTAAGAAGAAGAAGAGCTATAGTCAGTGTAGAGCCGAGTACGTAGTCTGATCTCCAAATTTAGATTTTTGCACGTTGATGTTTGCAGTATGATAATTGGTTTTATTGATCAAAGTTTCCAAATACAGATATTTTTCTACTTGTTCTCTCACGTTACCATTGATGGTCAATAGGTGATGTATATTTTGTGGTCTTTTTGTAATTAGTATGTACTTCTTTTTTTAGCGTTTATAATAATTCTCATCTCAGCAATATTCATACTTAAGCTTTCGATAAGATGTTGTAGATCTTTTATACTCGTTGCTATGATAAAGTTTTAAATTTTTTGTATAAGCTTAATATTTGAAATAGTGGCACAACTGACTTTGTTTGTATAAGAAAAGAATTTTTTGTTAATCTTTTGCTTATTCGGCTCATCTAATGTATACGGTTGCAGGATATCTCAAAGCATCAATTTTACACTTAGATCATTGTGCTTCTGAGCTACTTAATTATTTATTTATATACGGCATCCATTTACTTACAATTTTTACAAAGTTACATCTTAAAAACAATATATTATTAAAATAACAATCACAAGTTTTAAAAAGTTACACCTTAACAACAATAAATTATTAAAATAACAAACACCTCAGAATAATACAAACATATAAGAATAATACAGATGTACAACCAACTTATTGTAAGATATTTTTTAGTTGTTTTTTAAACAAACTAATTTTAGAGTCAAAAATATCTATTTGTCTTGGCAAGCTATTAGCACTTCGGACCAATCGTGTAGTTGGTTCATTGATACCATAATTAGTGTGGTGAAATGGCACCGAAAATATTTCTGATTGTCTGTTGCTTCTACTAGGAACTTTAAGACTAACAAGCGATAAGAGTTGAGGACAATCTATAAAAGCATTGATACCTTTGTGTAAGAAACATAAATCTAACAATGTCCTCCTTGACTCAAGTGTTCGTAAGTTAAGACTATCTCTTACCCACTGATAGTCGTATTCCTCTCTCCTGTATCCACTCTTATAGGCTGCTACCCTCAAAAATTTATTCTGGACTCTTTCAATCTGTTGAATGTAACAGTGGTATGATGGGGACCATACAACTGATCCAAACTCAAGAATGGGCCTAACGAGACCACAAGAAAGTCTTCTAAATGTAAATAAAGACAGATCCACAGATGTGCGTTGGATAAATCCCAGCACTTTCATCGCTCTGTTTGTTACTTGGTTAATGTGGCTTGAGAATGACAGTTTGGTGTCTAACCAAATTCCCAAATCTAATACTTCATTTTTCGAGGCTAATGGCAAGTTATTTATGTAGTAAACAAATGTAATTGGATTTCTTTCTATAGATTGAGTCAACCTGGCACCCCTCTTCAAAGCTGTTATATATATATGATTGATTATATATGATTATATATGATATATGATTGACATACAAAAACCAGGTTGGTATCTGTTGACCTCCCTTTCATAACGCCAAATTGTTCAGGATTAAAAATGCCTCTATAACTCCATGTCAGTTTCTTACTAACCAAACAATCAAGCAACTTGGCAGCTCCGACTGATTACAGACAGCTCGATAGTTTGATATATTGTTCCTTGCACCCGATTTAAAAATCGGCTTTTAAAAACTTTTCTTCCAGAGACTGGGAAAGCTACCAGTATCAAGTGATCTGTTAAAAATAAACAAAATTGGTTTTGTAAGTACACATATACATTTTTTCAGAAAATAATCTGGGATTCCATCCGGCCCTGCACATAATCTGTTTTTACAACTTGCAATAGTATCATAGACCTCAGTTGCTGTAATTATTATAGAACTCAAACAAATAGAACTGTCAAAATTAAAAAAGGTGAAGTATCTTTTTGTTCATCTGAGTAGACTGATGAGAAATATTCTGCGAACATATTGGCAGAGTCCTCCATATTTAAGCCAACCTATCCTTATAGACGATTCTGGATGGTAAATTATACCATTTCTTTAATGAATATTATAATAAATATTGTAATAAATATTGTAATAATAAATATTGTAATTATAAATATTATAATAAATTGAAAATCCTTATAAAAAGCCTCGTTTCGAGAATTTTTGGCCACGTTTTAAACATTTCGTCCCACTGTGTGGCGCCCCGTAGCCCTTCCTTACCAGCCGCCACTGGCTTTCGAAAGGTAGGTAGTTCATACAAGGATACCGGAAAAATAGACACAAAACATTTACAGTCATTGCTTTTAATTTCACAAGCAATTATATAAGTAACTAAAGTAACTTAAAATTAAAATCACAGATAAAGAAACGCATTTTGCGCAAAAACAAAACCTAAAATAATATGTACAAAAAAATTGATACAATTCAGTAAAAAAAATAAACTTAAGAATAACTAAAAATAAATCACAGGACAAATGAGACTTAAAAATAAATCTAAAGTATAAATAAAAAAGATCACAGATAGACGAACTATAAATAAAAAAAAAACTAAAATTATAAAAAAAAGTTAAAAAAAATCAGTGAAACAAAAACAAAAATTATAAAAAACGAAAAAATTTTACTTCTTGAAGTATTTTTGTTGCGTCCCTGTTTTTAATATGTATTAAGTTTTATTACATAACGTGTTTATTATTATTGTATTATTTGAAAATATCAAAAGTAGTTCTATTAAATAAAAATTGTTTACAAAGTATATTATGTATATTAGTAATATGGAATTAAAAAAAAGCAATTCAGCCAGAAAAAAATGACTTTAACGCAAAATAAGGGACGCAACAATATAACATTTCAATAAAATACAATGAAAAACGCTAGACTACTTTTAAAAACGCTAGTCATGTAGACTACTCATTTATTTAGACAGGCTATTCGAGAATTATTAAAATGTTAGAAAAGAAAACTAAAACAAAAATAAAAAGTACTGAACAAAATAAAAAAACTAAATCATAACATTTATATCAGTGTCATACAATTGCTTGTAAAAATGATATATTAACATTTATTAACATAGTTTTTCAATGGTGACGCAAGTTTTCTTGCACGAGTGATTGCAGTGATGCTGCTTGACGCAAACCGGAACGCATGCACACTTAACCTGGTGGCCATCATCTTCTTCGATTTCGATTTCAGCAGATTCGCAGCTGTCTGGAACCACTGGTGGTTTCAAGCAGATTTGTTGTGGTTTAGGCTTGCACTCGTATTTGACATCTCCCGGAATGATCTTGCAATCGCATTTGTGGCCACCGCAGGATACGCATCCGCCGATTTGACCGCACGCGTGGCCACCGCAACCATGGTGGTGATGGCCATGTTGGCCATAGTGACCGCATCCGCAGTTGGTTGAGACATCTCCGTGACATGTGGCCTTGCAGGCTGGTACTTCGGTAAAGCAAGGTTTGGGTGCTGCAAAAATAAACAATAAGTTATCTGGATAAATTATTATGGTACAGTTTTATTTATGGCCCTTGTTCACTCTTATGACCTTTGTTTTTCATTTACTCGTGATATCTTTGCTACAGTTATATACTACTTTATGTTTCGTTAAAATTCTAGTCTGATTTATTTATTGATTTAATTTAATATGCATCTTGAAACAAATTTACCATTTTTGAGTGATTTTGTTCTGTAACAAGAATTTAGTAAATGAGTTTTGTCTCTATCACTAAGCTACTGATTTGTATTAATATTATCATCATCCAGCCTTCTGCGTCCAAGATTGAGTATCTTCTTCTTAGAGTGCCGTCTCCCTACGGAGGTTGGCAGTCATAATGGCTATTTTTTTTAACTTGCTGCTCTAAACAAATCAATCGATCTGCATTGATACCAATCACGTAAATTATTCAACCATGAGTTCTGCCTTCGGCCAACAGATCTTCTTCTTTGAATCTTTCCCTGTATTATTTTATTTATTTATTATAAGTCTCAAAATTTCATATTTTGGTCCCCTCATCAAGTATTCCAGTTTTATCGTTTGTATAGTGGTGATTGGTTCTGTTTCTTTACCAACCTTCTCCATGTAATATCTTTATTTGTAATCTTCGGTATACAAGAGCTCAAAAGCCTCAATTCTTTTTAAATTGCATTTTTCCAATGTCCAAGTCCATATAATACTATTGAAAATATATAACAGCGAATGGTACGTAATCTGATCTCCAAATTTAGATTTTTGCAGATTAGGAGTGGCCTAATTCGTATAAATGCTGATCTGGCAATCTCTATTCGCCTGTTTATTTCTGCAGGATGATTGATCAAAGTTCCCAAGTACTGTAATTTTTCTACTTGTTCTATCACGTTACCATTGATTGTCAATAGGTGATGTATATTTTGTAATTAGCATGTACTTCGTTTTTTTAGCATTTATAGTAATTCCCATCTCAGCACTATTCATACTTAAGCTTTCGATAAGATGTTATAGATCTTCTATACTCGTTGCCATGAACTCCCGCTTTGATATTATTGAGCGTGTTTTGAAAATTTCTTTAGAATATAAGTTAAACAAAAGTGGCGATAAAACGCATCCTTGTCTAACTCCTTTACAGATCTTCATTTCTTCTGAATGTTGCCTATCAATTTGAACTATGGCACTTTGGTTCCAATATAATGTTTGCACTATAATTATGATTTTACTGTCAATGCGCTTGTTCATAAGTATTGATATTAGTTTTTCATGTCTTACTTTATCGAAAGCTTTTTCGTAGTCAACAAAGCATAAGTTTAGATTAACATTTACATCCCGACATCGCTGAATCAATATGTTGATGCCAATAGTCCTTCTCGAGTACCCATTCCATTTCGGAACCCGAACTGCGTCTTACTAATATCCTCCTTTAGCCTTTCGTATATTCTCTTATGTATTACTGTCAGCAGTACTTTTAAAGTATGACTCATGAGGCTCAGTGTTCGATAATCAGAGCACTCTTTTGCTGCTTGTTTTTTAGTGATGGTTATAAATGCTGTCTTCAGCCACTCTTTTGGTATTATTCCCGTATCGTACACCGTATTGTAGGTTGAGAATAGGCCTCCCCTAATTTCTTCCATTCTATTACTCTTGAGCTTCCTGCAGCAAATACCCAGCGATTTTTTTGACGTCATTTGTCCATTATGTAGGTGGTCCACCTCTGCTTCTTCTGTCTTCAGTCTCTGCTGGTGGCCTTTACACTGTAATTTTTGGGTCCCTCGCCCATGTATTCTACCCAAATGGCCCACCTAGTTCCACTTCAGCCATTCTGTGCTCTCTATGATATCAGTGAAGCCTGTCCTTCTTATTTCTTCGTTTCTATGAGAGTCAGTCCGAGTTGCGAGCGTTACATTCTTCTTTAGTTTAATTGCTGTAGCCTGGATTAAGGAAAGTGTTTCGGCACCATAAGTCATGACTGAAAGGCACAATATAACATCATTTAATTCTCCCAAAATGATCATTATTCTGAACAGAACCTCTTTATCGGTGTTTATGTTCTTGATTGTCATATATTCCAGTCTTAGTGTATCCTCCTAATACTTTTAATTACATCTTAAAATGTTAAATCACTGACGCTTTGAAGATTCACACCTGGCTTTGAACGTTTGGGGCTTCTTGTGGTACTGTGAGTATCTTAATAAATTTTTATATCTGACGATGCCTTTATGTCAGCGATTATGATTGTTCTACTTGAGATTCGTAAGGTTAGAATTAGTATAAGGTTTGTTTTCTTGATAGTGACTTTCCAAAAATTGTCCTGTATGTTTTTGTTATACCTTTTATTTTGTTAATGTCTAGTGGAAAGAAGCAGAAATAGTTAAATTTGAAAAGTACTTGTGAGAGTAAGATTTACGAGACACTTGTATCTATTTTTATTGACGTAAATAACTCTGCCTGCGAAGTTACAGATGAAGATCACAACGACGATGGCACAGTAGAGAAGCATGGCGTTGAAGTCCTCAACCTCAACATTACTCATCCCAGTGACTTATAAGGAAAGTTTCTGTAGATAGACATGACAGGAACGAATAAGGCGTAGCCACATAAGTAACTGCGGATCAACTTGGGACATAATAGTAGACAGTATTGTAATTCCTGAATCAAGGCTGTTTAAAGGATTTCTAGCAAGTTCGCTCTCTAAGAGGTTCAGAGATCGCAACCACATATTCATATATAGTACAAATAGATTAAACGTTGCAATACAGTTTGATCTCCCAGTGCGACAGAGACAACTGACGCAAATCAGTCCCTGCTTTTTTTTAATGGGCCGAATTTTTGACTTCTTCTTCTTCTTCTTCTTCTTGTATATATTCAGTATATTCATCTAGTTTTTTCATCTCTGTTGTTTCTAGTAGTCGTCTCGTTTTAGATATGTCCGGTCTTGTCTCCACCGTATATGTTAATATAGGTCTAATTGCTGCTGTATAGATTGTTGTTTTTGTGTCTTGTCTTAGGTGTTTGTTCTTCTAGATTGTGTCATTAAGAGAACCCGCTGCTTTACTTGCTTAAGCTTTGTTGTCGTACTTCTTCTTCAACATCTCCATAACTAGTGATATCTATTACCAGATATCTAAACCTTGTTTCCTGCTTTATTATTTTCCCATCAATTTCGTGATCTAAATGACCAATGGGAAAGTTATGGGGACGATAAATCGTTCCATTAGAAAAAAATGCAGGGACTGCTTTGTATCAGTTTTCTTTGTCGCACTGGGGGAACGGTAATGTATTGCAGCGATCAGTTTATTTCTATTATATGTTTAGGCACGTAATAATTTACACGACTGTGATACTGCTATGTACAAAGCAATGGGAAACTACTGCAATAAATCTCTTAAGAAAAGCTTCATGAGAAATACAAATCCTACTGCAACCCAGAGTGTCTGGAGTTTCTTAAATAGGACAGGGGTGCTAAAAATCTCCAGAGAAAAAAAAGAATAAAAAACATTTAATACGTGTAATGTTTGAACTTTGTATTAATTAGGAAAGCTTAAAAAATGTACACCTCGAAATGAAAAGTCTGGGCCTGGAAGTCCTTGGAACTGGCAAATCTATATCATGCAGCTTTGCTAATTCCATCATGTGAATCGTGGACAGCAAAAAGCGCAGATAATATTACTCTCGAAAACAGATACTGTTCATAAAAATGAAACGAGTATAATTTTCGAAGAGTAACTTGAAAACCTGGTTGATAGTTCCTCTTTCAGACCGAATAATGATGTTAACTATTAAAACTAAGATTAACATAAATGTAATGGAAGTATACACTCATACCAACAAGTAACTGTACAGATAACGAGAATATTATCTTTTACTGTGAATTAGAGACAAGTAAGCACTGAACTAAAAGAGTTAATAACTGGTGGAGAAACTTCTTCCAGGAGGAAAATTTTTTAAACATTTTAAATAACCAAACAGACTTTTCTATACGTGGATATCATCCAGAGATGGTCATTTTAGTATAATTCCTAATTAAAATAGTATGTTATGACTACCAATAGATTCTGAAATGCACTAAGACTTGTCTAAATACTGACGCACCAATCACAACTTACTGACATCTAGAATCAACATAAAATGAAAGCCAGTAAAATACTTCTATTAAAAAGAAATACTATCGACAAAAACTAAAAGAAAGATTTTAACATTACTTTGAACAGACATTAAACAACAGAATAGGAGACAACATCATACAACTATACAAAGTACTAATAGTCGAAGAAATATGGAATAACACAAAGAGTGGTGTTATCAATACAGCAACAAAAAGTGGAACAGTCACTCAGTATAGAAAACAAGCGTAGATCATAGAAAACATAATGAAAATGATGGAGGAAATAAGACAACTTAAGAGTAGAAATAACTCAAAGCATAAATAAAAGCGTAATTTAATTCGAAGGAACATCAGTTAAGCCAAAGCCAATAATACAAGCAAAATGTGAGAAACTGCAAGAGTTTTGTTCTGAAGCTATTTTATTCTAAGTACTATTTTTTATGGAAACGTAAAGAAGATTTACGTATTTAAGGTAATGTTTCAAGTATCGCTACCTGTCCGAAGGTTGTCTAAGTGTGCGTTCATAATGAGGCGCCGACCCTCGGTCGGACCTTAGGATGGTATCATAGTATCATCGCCACGTAAAATAAAAGCATTATTTTAAAAATTCCAGCGTTCACCCTAAAGCGCAGAGCAACCTCGAGCCAGGTATCGTACCATGGACATGGACCATAGTATTCCAACTTAGTATTTTTTCAATTCTGGTCCCTAATACTCTACGATCGACACTACGAGGTGCCGACTACCAAGCCTTGCTGCGACCATCGTATCGAAACCAGGTAAAATAGATGCATTTTATTTTTAATTCGAGCTTTTGTTGTCAGTGCTATGCTCTAGGCGAGGATACGATGCTATGTTCTCTGTAATGAATGCACCCTAAAAAGCTTGGTGGCTATCCCGACATAGGGATACCACGGCAACCATGCTACTGAACTAGTTTGGGCAAAGAATATTAAATTTATTCTATAAGTTATCTAGAGCATCCCTATAAAAAAGAAATTTTTTAGTTAAAGTCTGTAAAAATAAAGCTCTTTACTGTGGTTATTTAGTGGACTTGTTGGAATTTAACATTATTATTCGGAATACTACTAAATGTGCTGGAAAATGCACGCGTATGTAAGCCAATAAATAGAAGAAGAAGAAGTACCTGCCCGAAAAGAAGAGATTGTAATCAATGAGTAAGTTTTAAAGTAAAGGGCGCTATAATTTTAAAAAATCAATATTTAAAATTTAAAATACTTCTTCAAAAATTAAATGATGTGCCTAAGATATAGAAATAAACCTTAAAAAACTTAATGGGTTATTATCATAAAAAAGAATATGTGCGAAAAAAATCTATTACATTGTATACCTATAAAATGTGTAATCAGCAGAACCACAGAAACATTAGATCAATTAGGTACTCCTTAATATTTTGGGGGCTCCATAATATTTCTGGCATAATCAAACACTTGCCTGAGCAATACTTGGTGACTGAGCAATATACTAACTAAACTGTTACATAGAACAGAATTTAATGAGATCAAAAATAGACAATGCCCTTAAAAATAAAATGATTGAGTATCTTGAACATACAGTAACAGGATCTAAATATGCATTATTAAAAACTTAATGAAACCTAGAATATAAGAAAGAACTAGTCAAGGGAAACAATATCAATTATCCTATGATCTGACGAGGAACTGGAACAGAGAGAGTAATATTCGTTTCTATAAAGAATACAACCTAAAATTTAAAGAATACTTACGTTTAGCTACTTTGTATCCAATTTCGCAAAGAGCTACTTTTCTGATTGGACATTGTACTCCCAATTGTGCTTCGGATCCTCCGTTGGCGAGGGCCTCTGCTTCCTCCTCTTCAAGAGCTAACAATTGTTCGGCTGCTTCTTCAGCCAAAGCAGCTGGACTGTTGCCTGCTGAAGCTCTTATTGGTGTCAATTCGACGATTTGTCCGTTCAAGTTGAAGATTCCTTCTTCAGGTACGTTAGCTTTGATTATCTAAAAATTCCGAATTTAATTATTTACCTTCTAGTTATCAATCTAGAGTTTGTATTACAAAGCAAGCAATGTTAGCAACAACTAAATGAAAGAAAACAAGTGGGAAGCTGTCTAATTTGTAAGATACCAACGAATCTTATACAAAACTGCAACTCGAATTATAAGAGAAAATTTTTTATGCTGTGCTGCTTTGGCGAAACAAAACAATGAAACGCAAGATAAGAATACAGATGAAAAAACTGAAAATACTTGCTGGCATAGGAATCACAATAAGATCTTGTCTCACTGAAGTATTAAAGTCAAAGCTTGATCTACCCCAATTATATATAAATGTAAGGAGGATCGCTCCAGAAATTTTCTTTAGGGTAAGAGTATCTAAGAACTGACAATCGTAACATGTACAAGAAGGAAAGAGAGAGATTCAATGCTCTTTGGAATGCTCTTTGCAGATGATATCTTGTTAGTGGAGGAGAGCAAAGAAATGTTGAAGAAGAAGTTGGAGAAAAGCTATTGAAGAAGGAAGACTTAGGTTTAGCAGGTCAAAAATAAAGTATATATGATTAAGAGGAACAGGAATGGTTAGGAACATCGAATTGCTTGGGGAAAACTAGAATAAGTAGGAGAATTTAAATACATTGGCTCCTCATAACAGAAAATGAGACACTAGATCGAGAAATTGTCCACAGGATACATGCTGGTTGGTTTAACTGGAAGCAAATGAGCGGAAGAGCTGAAAGGAATGATGTACAAGAGTGTGGTAGGGCCTGCTTTGGTGTACGACAGTGAAGGGTGGCCTGTAAAGAAGGTTTAAAGATAGAGATAGCTGAACTGAAAATGTTACAGTGGAGATTGGGTAAGACCAGAAGGGACAAAATTAGGAACAGCGTGATTAGGAAAAGAGCCGTTCCAGTTTCAAAAAGGTTCAATAACAAAGAGTGCAATGGTTTGATCACATCAGACGTTGAAAATGAGAAATATGTTATATATTAAAGAAACAGAGCTGTTAGAAGTTAAGTGAAAAAGAGGTAGAGGAAAACCGATGAGAAGATGAAATGACTGTGTGGCAAAGGACTTGAGGGATAAAGGCTTAAAAAAGATTTAAAAAAAGATGTACAACATATTATGGTTGCAAATTAATCCAGAATTCTTAATAAATTATCTTACACGATTGCGACTAAACATAAAACTAGCAATATTATACTACGAGTCAAATGCATAGGAAGAAGAAGGAATAGGAGTTATTGCAGCAGCATACTATCTAGTAATAGCTGGCAACAGAGTCTTATGCTCAAAAGTGCCTGAGGTAACCTCGGTTTTGCTAGAATATTTATTGGCTGAAACTATAAGCTGTAATCTGCACTGAAGACCCTGAAGTCTACATCATGTGAGTCTGTAACAGCTTAAAACTGTGTCACACAGATATTTAAGTACCTAATATTTCTATCAGTTCAGAACAATTATACGTTATCATGAAAAGTATCGTGGAAAAGTAAAAGATATGCAACAAATGGAAAAATGGACCTACTGCCCACTGGAAAAGTATTTCCAACCAAAGGCAAGCAAAACATTATTTAAAGTTTTATTAGCAATGAAACAATACCCTTTTAACTTCAAAGAACTGAACTAAGAATAATTTAGGGGTGTTTCCACTGTGGATACTCTTCACTCAAAAATTTCAGTAACATAGAAAAATGGAAAGGACCACAAGTAGATTCTGAGAAAAAAATGGATAGTCTTCAACTTCAGGATTATTATTAGTCAATGTCATAGATATCTGAAACTGGTCGTTTTTTTTAGAACCTAATCGTATAACAAATGTAACTGCTAAACGGATATAGGTTTTCTTAGAAGTATTTTGATAGTTATAAAGATAGATAGATGTAAAATATATACCAAAAATCTTATAGATCCTGATGTGTAGAGGAAGCTAGATGATTCCTTTAAAATATTTTACAAAACGTGCTTAAGTAGTAGTTTTAGAAATTATGCCTAGTTTTAACACAATACCAACACATATTATACTTAAAAAAATTAGAAAAGGTTACTGAACCAATCTAAAATTACTGATTTTCTAATTATTAGACGATTTTAGACGGACAAACTGGGCTAGAAAAAAGATGATACAGAACTGTAACACAAAATATTGTTGATAACGTTCAAAATATTAGGAATAAAAGTAATATAAGAAAGTAAGAAAGACGATTTTCATAGATAAAAACCGAAGCGGTTGTTTGAATCATTTTTCTGTTAACCAAGGTTCTAAAAAAATTCTCGATCAAAAATGTCTTCATAAACTAAATACTAGAAAAAGGTTATTTGGAAATTGAATACTCTTTGACTACTGTTTTCGCGCTAATGACTTACTGACTAAGTTAATGCACAGGAAAAGTTAAAACTGTCTTCATAAATTTTACATAATTTTCTTTATTTACTGGCGCTTACCTTCTTGGGAGGAAGTTCGATGGGGATCTTTCTGAAACCGAAGTTAAGTTTGTCTTCGCTTTGTAATCTTACGAGATCAGCTTCTCTTGCTAGTTTATATGCGAGATCTAAAGAAACTGAGTCAGCGGGAGATAAGGGACCATATCCATAACCTGGGGCTCCTGGTCCTCCGGATATACCTACTATTCCGGATCCTCTAAGATTTCCGTTAGATCCAATAACTCCACCGTGAGGAATGATAGGTCCGTGTCCGTAGCAAGGACCACTACCGTGCAGTGATCCACAGCAAGACTATAAAAGAAGAAATATATTAATATTATAAATTATTTTTTATTTAAAAGAAAATTTAAAATTTTTTATACTTGGGATTCGTTAATTTTTAACTGAATGAGATAATGGTAATAACGAAAAAGAATCCTACAAACATAAACATACTAGTAAATGACAAATTAATTGAACAAGTTGAAAAGTTTAAATATCTAGAATGATGGATACATGAGATCTTAGGTTCAAAACAAGAAATTAAATGTGGATTAAAACAGACCAGAAAAGCATTTCTAAAAATGAGACATTTTTTCACCAGCTGACATCTTGATCTAACTGTACATTACCGCTTGATAAAATTCTATATACACAGTATCCTACTACATAGCATGGAACCCTGAACGTTGATAATTAGCTCGTTAGGAAGCCTGGAAAACTTTGAGATGTAGATACTCTGCCGCATTCTAAATATTCCATATACTAACCATGCTAATAATGAAGCAGGTTTAAGACGTGTAGAGATCGTGAACTTATAGAAATTATCAAAAAAATGGAAATCTTATCTTGGACATATATTGGGACACGGGAGATATAACTTCCTTCAACTAATAATGGAAGGAAAAATAGACGGAAAACGCAGTCCTGACAGACGACCAATGACTGCTGCGTAACATTAAGAAACTAAACCTCCAAACCATAATGAGAAAAGCTTAAAATAGAGATAAATTTTTAAAAGTCATCGCCAACCTCCATTGGAGAAGGCACCTTAAGAAGAAAAACTTTTTCACAATGCACATATTTTAACAACAACAATTTTTAAGAAAATTGTGGACCGGCCACAGAAAAGATGGAAGGACAATATAACCTATAGGCACAATTAAAGAACAGAAATAGGCAGAATTGCCTAATAAGAAGGTAGAAGAAAAGGAATAAAGAAGTTACCTAAAGAACAAGAAGATCTTATTACCATATTTAGCCATACGGCTCACACTCCCTCTAAGGGGAAAATTCATTCATCCCAGATACCTACGGTATCAAAATGATTGAGCTCTGGTGGGACTCTTTCCATGTTATCGAGTCCTAGGTCACTTGGTACGACGGTGTATCTCCCAAAAATTTTCGCACGCATCTGGACGTCGAAAGAAGCACAGCTTTCTGCATGATCTTATATAGATTTTTATTAAGAGCCAGCTTTTTTATGTTCTCTAGGGGGTTCTTCGGAATGACTCCAGTAGTAGAAAGAATAATAAGTACTGGAATATCATCTGGGTACTTTAGATTCTCCATTGTCTCCTTATTTGTATTTCCAGATCTCTGTACTTGGCGATCTTTTAGTTGTACTTAACACGCAAATTATTGTTGTTAGGTATCGCCACATCGATTTTGTTGTTTGTCTTCTTGTTTATTAACTAGCACGAGATCTGGTCTATTATGTGCTACAGTTTGGTCTGTGAGCACAGTGCGATCCCAGTATAGCTTGTAGTTGTTATTCTCAACCATACTCTCAGGAACGTATTGATAATATGGGAGATGGTTTGTTTGCAGAAGTCCCAGTTTAAAAGCTATCTCTTAATGGAGGATCTTGCCTACTGAGTCATGCCGTTTCTTATATTCAGTTGCAGCAAATGCCTGCCAGCCCCCGGTAAGATGTTGGATAGTTTCTTGGGCCTGACATCTATATCGGTATTTGTCGTTTTGGACATGAGGGTCTTTGACAATATATTTCAGGTAATTTTTGGTTGGTATAATCTGATCCTCAATGGAAAGTAATGAACCTTCTGTTTCAGGGAACATCTTTCCTGATATAGTTCCTATAGAACTATATTCCCAATAGTTCGACGCTATATTGTCGACATACTCTTGACTGACTTCATTCGAATGTCGCTCGTGCAGAGGTTTACCCATCCAGATGCACATTTTTTCATTCTTAGTAAGACAGTTTATGTGCATTTCTTGTTCCCTCAGTTTGATCGATGTTGCATCATCTACTGCACAAATCGGCGATGAAGAGTAGATGTCTCCTTAGTTATTACCATGATTACTATTATTACCATGTATTTCGTTTTCCTACTGTATCTAACTTTGCATCTACATTGATAAATATGCTTTGCAAATAAAGTCTGTACAAAAGTGACATTAATTTAATAAAAATGTATTCTGAGATCAAACAGCATCCCTAAGAATTAATAGTAAGCTAAATAACAGCATTCCCATCAGAAGAAGTGTTAGGCATACTTTGTCCAACTCTCTTTAACTTGTACTTACAATACTTACACTATTTGTAATAGACTTGTAATATCCAAACACATTTCTCTCTGGCAGTCAAGAGATATTCCAAAATCTCATAAATTCCGAAATAATTTTCCAAAAGAAAATTATTTCCCAGAATAGAAATCGGAATACGTATATCAAAATTTACAACAAACTCAAGAATCAGGAATATATTCAGTAAGAAGTGCATTCTTTGGGATGAAAAATTTGCTAGTAAACCCCACTCTTTCTTTGAAAATTATTATTATTATTAATATATAACAAATACTGACAGAGGAGCGAGCTCCTATTATACCCAAGAAGCAAAAAAACAAAAATAAAAAATATCCTTATAAAACTAATACCAATTATAAAGTTAGGTAAAGTTAAACAATTAAGTATACAGACAAAATTGAATTGTGAAACAATAAATAAATAAATAATGCTGTCCGAAAAATAAAACACAATCCTATAGCATAAAATAAAGCGCTATCAAGTTTATTTTTAAAGATGTTAACACTAGTTGCCGATATGGTGTCTTGATCCAATTGTTCCAGATATTAAAGATTCTATTTGGCAAGAAGTTCACCCTGGACCTTGCAGTAGTTTGTTTCCTCTTTAATTTGTATCGATGGCGTCTTAATCTTTCGTCTTGATTCAAAGTGAATATGGTGTTAAGGATCCCAAAATTATATTTTAAAATACGGAAGGACATAAAGACATATTAGGTCACCTCGAAGACGTCGTTGCTCGAATATCGTAAGATGAGCCATGGATAGTCTATCTTCATGGTTAGATCTTCACACGGCCGTATGCCAAATCTTGTGGCTTTACGCTGAACATTTTTAAGTAGGATTTTATCGCGACTGAGATCTGTCACTGATCCTGCAAACTCAAGAATAGGTCTAACGTATATTGAGTAAAGTTTACTAACAGAGGTTAGAGATATGTGTGTAAAACATTTACGGATCAAAAACAGTTTTCAGTTTGCACGTTTACACACCGAAACTATGTTATCAGACCAATTTCAGTCACTATTAATTATCACTCCGAGATCGTTGTGGGAGTTTACCGAGTTTAAGGGATGGATGTCCATTAATAAACTACGGCAGTGATGGGTTAAATGCTGAGGACCATTTGAAAATTGCGTCAAGATCTTGTTGAAGAACATGTTGGTTAATAGTGGTATTCACATATAATTTCGTGTCATCAGCGTACATAGAAACCTTACTGGATACTATGAGCGGAAGATCCCTAGTGTAGACACAAAAAAGTAGTGGTCCAAGTACTGATCCTTGTGGGACTCCACTCTTGACTGGCTTATCTAGTGGTCTTCCCCAACACGAACCCTGAAGTATCTGTCGGATAGAAAATCTTGAATTCAAATGTTTAACTTTTTCGCGGATACCATAGTGATCCAATTTAGCTAGTAATCGACGTTTTGGAACACGGTAGAAAGCTTTGGAGAAATCTAAGTAGACTACATCGACAGGATTCTGATTGTATAAAGATAATCACCAATAATTCACACAATGAAGTAAGTTTGTGATCGTTGAACGACCTTTGATAAAGCCATGCTGTTGGTGAGGGATGACGTTTTCTTGAAGAATAAACTTAGACATAGCTTCCGAAATAATCGATTCCATGACCTTGCCGACAATAGGAACGAGGCTGATTGGACGATAATCATTGCAATTGCAAGTTTATTTCCTTTCTTGAATATAGGAGTGACCGAAACCAATTTCCAGGACGAGGGGTGAGAACCTTGATTAAAAGAAGCATTCATTATAAGAGATATAGGGATGGCTACAGATTTTGCACATTGTTTGAGGAAAAATGAGTTGAGTCCGTCTGATCCAGGTGATGAATTATTTCGTAGTTTCCTTAAATGATGTTTAATTTCATCCGGTGTGAAAGATATATTGTCAAGAGTTTTAGACAATTAGACACAATTTCATTAAAACCTGTTGTATGTTGTATGGAGCTTGAATAAACTGAAGTTTGGACAATAATATTCCGAACTACGAGGCGGTTAAAGGCCTTTAAAATATGGGTAACACGTAGGATGCCCAAAATATCATGACAGCGTATTTCCAACGAAAGTGTATTGAGAAGAATGGATATAAAAAGAGACATGCTGGATACTGTTAACAGACAAAGGAATGGTTATTTGAGATATATACGTAGAGGTATAAACTAAAAATGTTTAATTAATAATTGAGGGTAAGTTTGTTTTAAGAATGATCCAGGTAGAAAATGATGTTCACGACTCACCAATATGAGAAACGTAACAGATTGGAATTGACAATTTTTGAGGATATCTCAAAACCGAGAAAAGAAGAAGTGTATGACTTTATCTGGTATTGTATTTATCTGATATTGTTAACTATCGTAATTATGAGAGCTTATCAATTTGTTTCTAATCGTTTAAATCTTCTGAATTAGAAAGATTTATTGACACACCTTAGGGTAAAATCAATTTAATTAATACGGTGATGGCAAATGGAATAATCTCGTACGAGGTTGGCCCATCTTCGTTGCTTGTTCGTGTGAATGTATATACTGTATATGCATCTTTATTTGACTGTGGCACATATTTTTCCTGCTTTACACCACTTGTAAACATCGAAACATTTCTTTTAAATATAAATATTAAGATAAATATTGTGTTTATATGAGAGTAAGCCACAATTTATTATAAGAATAATTACATTTTTATCTAAAAAATTTGACATTTCGATTAGAACTCGAGAAGAAATCGTTTTCAGAAAAGATTATTTAAAAAAATTGATACACTTGGCCGCGGTGTTATGGGCAAGTGCCATGCTTTGGCTTAAAAGATATGAGGGTGTATTTTTTCACTGTGTAACTTTAAATTCTGATTGTTCTGTGTTCTGTATTATTAATATTTCCTATAAGCATTAGTGTGTGAGAGTGTTCCTGTATTGTGTGTGTGTGTTGTATGTTGCATACGTATTGTGCATGATTGAAGACGATATGTCCCAGAGTTTCTTAATCCGCTATTGTTGGTATATTCCTTGTTGTTGACTTCTTCTTTCAGTATTGGCAATCAAAGCCTGCTACATTCTGCTAGTAGGTTAGCTACACATGTTTCTTCATCATGTAGAATGAGACCTGTTTCTTTAATTTTTTTTCATGTCTGTTTCTTTTATGATTAATAATGAATTTTTCCATTGTACTCTGTGTTCATTGTCCCAGGTATGTTTGCATAAATATTAAGATGTTTATTCCTATTTCGTCGATGGAAATTTTTCATTCCGTTTGTTTTATCGTATACTTAAATCTGTTACAAATTAAACAATATTTTTGTTTAAATCCTATACTTATATTGATTTCTCCCTTTTCTAATCGGCATTATCTTATCCTCCTTTAATTTTTGAATCATTGCCATTCATTTTTTTTTCAAGACTTCAGTATTTGTCGTCTAAAGCAATCGCAAGTTTCTGTCAAATTTAAAATAAAAATAATTAGGTGTAAAAACAAAATAAACTCTCATTTTAATGAAAAGCAAATATGTTTTGAATCCGCAAAGCAAAAAAATATTTATAATTTAATTTTAAAATGAATTGCTGTTTCTTGGTGTAGCCCTAAATTACACAAATGGAGAATAAGGACTTGACAGTAATATTGTTTAGATCTGTGGTAATCAGTTCTTGCTTATACAATGTCAATTTAAGTAAACTATAACAAAATAACCAATAAGAATCTCCGGAATAAAAACGCTAAGAACAAGTGTCAAACAAATGACACTACAAAAGTCAAATACTGAATGCTCCCTGATGGGAAGCACGTCAGGTGAAATATGGTTATATAAATAATGGTAAAAAAACAAGTAACTAATTCATCGTATGGCTCTAAAGCGTAATTATAGCCCTAGTCTCCCTCAGCAAACCTCTCCTTCCGTTACGGTCAGTAGCCATTCTCCTCTACGATCGACTGCCACGAAGATTTCTGGCATACTTATCCACATTATCCTTTTATCACTTTTATCACTTACTTCTCTTTCCCTGCATTCTTGCATTCAACAGTTTTTTTTTTTTTTGAAGCATGTTTTCTTCTGTCTGTTAAAGGATTTCCACAGATTTCACTGTGTTCCTTCACTCAACCGTTTTCTCCAATGTTTGCTGTTTAGCCAGTTCCCTTCCTGTACGTTTCTTCTTCTCATTGCTTCGTCCACTTCATCTCTGAAAGATCTTCGTGGTCTGCCTCTCTTTCTTCTTCCTATCGGGCTCCACTCTGTTATTCTATTTATCCACCGATTTTGGTCTGCTCTTCTGACATATTCGTACCAGGTTAACCTCTTCTGTTCGATGTAGTCTATTATGTCGGAGTTCATTTTCATTCTCTTCTTAATCTCCATGTTATTTATTCTATCTCTTCTTGTTACTCTGCAGCTTCTCCTTAGGAATTCCATCTCTGTTGCGCTTATTTTGTTTTTGGTTTTCTTATTTATTGTCCAATTTTCACACCCATAAGTGAGGATACTTCTTGTCATGGTATTATATATTTTTTTCTTTGTTTTCATGCTGATGTTCTTATCCCATAGTACCGGGTTCAATTTTCGTATGCAGTCTCTTGTTTGTCCTAGTCTATTTTTTATTTCTTCCTCCGTTGTTCCTTTGTTTGATATTATGAAACCTAAATACTTATACTTGTCCTTGTTTTCCTTTTGTATTCAGTTTTCCTTTAGGTTTATTTCCATCCAGTTCTTTGTATATTCCTGCTCCAGTTTTCTCATCATAAAACTGAGGTCATCCTCATCTTGTGCGATCACTATTTGGTCGTCAGCAAAACTTAGCGTATATAGATATTCGTTCCTTACTGGTATACCCATTCCTTCGCACTTTCTTTTCCATGGTTTCAGGGTTTTTTCCAGGAATATTTTGAACAGGGTGGGGGATGTGGAGCAACCCTGTAGTAGTCCCTTTGTCGTTTTAAATGGACTGCATATTCTATTGCCCGTTTTGATAGCTACTTCGTTACTCTTGTAGAGTGCTTTTACCGCGTTTATTAATCTTCGTGGAACTTCGATGTCTTCCATTGCTTCCCATAGCTTGGTTCTAGGTATTGAGTCATATGCCTTCTTAAGATCAACAAAAGCCAGATGGAACGGATCTTTTTTTATATCCTTCTTATATCCTAAATACATGGCCTGCCCATTGAAGACGCTATAGGCGTCCATACTTAGTTAAAGATGGTTCTGTATATATATTTCATAATTGTATCCGATTCGGCACATATCGTTCTCATTTATAGGGCCTAGTAACTAAGAAACTAATCATAGCTTTACTTAATCGTTGTGAGTTAAAGAGCTGGTACCGCAGAATATACTCATAGAATTTTCCTACAACTACATTAACAGCAATAATTAATCAAATTGATACAACGGAGTGTTACATTAGTCCGCTCGCTACGCTACTAATCCCCATCCTAACGGCAACGTTTTGATGTCAACTAACGTTGAGATGACTCCATCCTATTCGACAACGCAAATTCCAACGGTCTCATGTCGCAAGGGGCCTAAGCACCGATTTCGAGAACATTTTAAGGTATTTAAGTGGCACAGATACAGTTCCAGAAGCGTCTATACATAAAGATAAATTAAATGGTAAGAGTTAGCCTAAGTTAAGCAATAAATATTATTAATTGTGTTTTTAGTGTTAGTGTTAAAAGTCTGTAAATAAATTGTAATTAAGTGTAAATAAAAATAAAATAAAACATTACAGGACTGTGGAAGGATCCGACAAAATTCTTAACACGTTTGCATTTATTAGCATTTAATGAATGTATGTCCTTAATACTAACATCTACTGATAGAGTTAAATTTAAAGGTTTTTCCTTAAAAGAAGAGGAACCAAATACCAAGTTACAAGACATTAAACTTTTCTTAAAGAGGTGTCGCGCAGACGGACAGATAGATAAACAGGCAACGACAAGATTTTGAGAATGACTTTTCCTTACGGGTCTGATGGATCCTTAATAAATAAAATGCATGTATTAGAATCATCATCTCAGTAACACATTTATGGATACAGTAGCCTTTCAAGGGAAATTTAAGCAGGTCAAGAGTTCGAATTTCGCCAAGTGATATACTTTTTTATTAGGTCAAAAAATCGCATGATCGTCACAATGGTATCGGAGGCACCGCAGTCGTTCACTGAGGATATAATAAGTGGATTTCTTGCTTTAATTAAAGACAATTAAACCAGATGTTCATAGTAAATTACATTTACTAAAAATAAGGACTACTTTTGCATTAGGGCAAAACAAAACTCAAAAGAATTACTCACAAAAGATCTGTACGACTTTAAAACTGTAAGGATAGCTGTACTACAGCTGTACTGCAATCTAAAATGTATTAGCAAGGTGTATTTCTCTCCACGTGTAATATGTCCGAGATATTCTAATTTTCTTGCTTTTATTGTATTTAAAATTTCCATTTCTTTATTCATCCTTCCCAAGTTCTTACCTAACGGTAAAGAACTTACTTATCACATCAAAATTTGTATGTTGTTGACAAGGACCTTCTTAATAAACTAGCATAAAACAAGACGGTGCCTTTAATATTGGTGCTATAACCGAACAAGTAGACTCATTAACAAAATGATTTTTAGACACTAGATTTAAAAACAATCATTAAAATTGTGTATACAATATATGTAAAGTGAATAAACAATGGTGCATATAATTTAAACTGGAGGAATAAACTGCATAGATATCGTTTGAAAGTGTGATTGCCTTAGTGATTTAAGGAGGACATGCAAAGAAGATCTTAAATTATCAGTAAGTAAGCTGCTATGTTTAGTCAAAACACAGGACTTATTGGTAAAGGATACGACATAGTATGAAGGTGTTATGATCAAGTGCTAGACACATTCGTGTCACTGATTTTTCTGTTATCTTCTTTATGCATTAGTTTATGCGGTTACTGATTATTTTATATATAATATATTTTCTTCTTTATGGTAGATTTTGAATGAAAAGCTAATTTTAAATTTTAAAATTTCATTACACTTGAATATAAGCGAGAAGAAAGTTGGTTCTTTATATAACTCCATGAGTGGTCTTTCAATTGGAGTAATGAAAATGTGAATATCTTGATCTAAACTAAGATTTTGCGCAAAAATATCTGCTAAAAAATAAAATACATTTTACATTCAAAGAAAATTCTTAATACTTACGTGGTGTTGGTGATGGTTATCACATCCACAACTTTGGCGATGGTGATGTTTGCAAACTGGCTTGGGTAAGACTGCTGGTTTAACGATGGCCTTTTTGATCGCGCATGGGTTTGGCTTGACGCAAGACAAATCGACTTCCACTCCTGGATTTACGTTAGGTTTGGGAAGATCGTGTGGTCTGACAACCAAAGGGACGCAATGGTGGCCTGTATTGCCACACCAATCCGACTGAGGTAATTCCTCCGTGTTACATTGTTTACGACAAGGAAAACGGAATCCACATCCACCATGGTGCTCCTCATGATAGTGCCCGTATGAGCCGTGGCAGCTAGAGCAGCTGCTGCATCCGATTGCACTACTCTAAAATAAATAATAATATATCCTATTAATAAAGATAATTTTTACAAAATATAATTTTATTATTTATTAGGTTAAAAAAATAATTAGGGTACGAAATACAAAATTGATGTATTTACTATTTCCCTAAGGATAATTCTGCTACCAACAAATACAGTGGTAGCTTTAGCTAGACTATGTTACTAGCTTAACAAGCTGGACGGCACCCTGATTTGAAGGATACATAAAGCCTTTGGTTCCGGCTATGTAAGTGGCCAGTAAGTCATGTTAGGAGTAGCTTACATGACTCTAACACTAGACCTAAGTCGGAGGATAGTTACACGAACTTTACTAAAAATACAAAGTATACCAAAAGGAAAAATATGGGATGCAAAGGAACGTACTATTCAAAAAATAAATGTAAGAAAATAGATCACTTACAAATAAATATGGCAACTTCAGCTTGCATAAAAAAGTCAGAGAACTGGCTTCAGAAAGAAATCGTAATAATAAAAACATGTTGTTAGATGATGAGGGAAAAATTATTATAAAAACAGAATAAAAATTACGCTGATGAATACATAGAGGAATTATTTTAAAGACTAGACTAAAATCATTAAAATGTAATATTACTACGAAGAAATTTATTTATAAAGAGGTTATTTGTGTAATATGACTGATGAATATGGATAAAGTAACCTGTGAATGCAACAATTTTTATGTGGGAGAAACCGCAAGACCATTAAGTGTCAGGATAAACGAGCATAAAACATACAGAAAAAACAGAGATTTCGACAAATCCCAGATACGAAAACATGCGTGGGACAACGAACAAACAGTACAATGAAAAGATACATCCATAACCATAAAAGAAACAAAGATGGTTAGATACTAATAAAAATATCTACGTCTGCTACATAAACTATAACAATGTCTTAGATATGGTTAAACATGATAAAATAATGGATATCCTTAGAGACCAAAACCAGGATAAACGAGACATGTGATAATATCAAATTTCCACTACAAGCAAACGTATGTAAATATCAGAGGTGGAATTATTATTCAATGTCGACTTGAAGGAAATTAATAAATAAAAAATATATATTACTGCTATAATAGGTGTTAATAATACATGTAGTCCAGGCAGGATTTGTCGAAAAGCAGACCATAATGAATATTTTTCATAGGAGTCTATTTTTTTTTCTGGATCCACTTCAGTATAATATACCTTGTATAAATAATCATAATATGATATTTATATTATAATATAGCTTGTACAAAAAAATATTATAGAAGATAAAAGTTTCAATTTTCTACATAATATTTTACTGGCTATAAATTGAAAATTTGATGTTTATTGTTTAAAAAATAACAATAATTGGGAAAAAAGTGCAAAAAATTAAGTTTTTCGTTTAATTATTTTTTGACATCATAGACATAAATTTGTGCTAAATTTGATTACGACCGGTTTAATAGTTTCTACATCATAATAATAATAACAAGCCAACAAAAAACTCTCCGTTTACTTTAAAAACAGACTGCTTACTTATAACTCAACACCAAAATATCTTGGTGAGTAACTCTGGACAGAACATTGAGTTTTAAACAACATCCACAAAGAATGGCAGCAAAACTGAAAACGCGAAATAATATAGTCCAAAAGCTATGTAACAGAGATGGGGATCCTCAGCCTCCTTACTCAGATCACCCGTCCTGGACTTGTGTACTCGGCGCTGAATATGTTTCCCCGGTATAGCTCAATCGCAAACACACGAAGATTATTGACACCCAATTAAACCAGACAATTTAAATGATCTCAGGTACAATTAGACCCACACCGAACTATTGGCTTTCCATTCTGAGTCACATTCCACCACCGAAACTGCGAAGAAGTAATTCTCTTCTCAGATAATATCGAAAAATCGAGATTAACCATCAACTACGCATCTACCATAATGAGCTTGATATCGAAATAAACACACTGCGCTCCAGATATCCTTCATTAAGAGCCAACTCCTTACATCAGGAATATTCAACTTTACCAACGCTTGAAGAAGACAATGGGAGAACGATTCACCACAGGAAGCACACCAAATGGCCTGTATCGATCAGAAACGGCTTTGAAACTTTGATCAGAAACTTTGAACTGACCCGCAATACATGAATAACGCTAAACATAATAAGAACTAGCAGCGGTAGATGTGCTGACAGATTATATAGATAGGGAAAAGCTCTTACTTCTGAGTGTGGCTGTGGTGCGCAACGAAAAATTGCAAATTTTCAAAATTATCCTGGGCCCAAACTAAGCTTTTTGAATAGTAGAGATTCTCTATACATATAAAGAAATGTTAGAAACTTTTAAAGGCAATTTTAAAAATTAAAATCGGTCAACCAGTTGAGCCTAGGGAATTTTTTGAAATCATAAACATTTTTTTCAAATTATAGCTACGTCGTTCTCAAATAAAATACGTTATCAAATTTGATAGATTAATAATTATTATAAAACTGCTCAAACTGCAATCAACCTTGCGAGCAACCAGGATTTAGAGCTGGATACGGAACAAATGATCATTTGCAAACCATTTAGTCGTTAATTGAAAAAACCATTGAATATAATAGACCCATGATACTTGTCTTTGTCGACTTTGAAAAAGCATTTGATACGGTCAATCAAATTGAAATGCTCCAAGCTCTAACGCTATGAATAATCACCGTTACATATCCCTCATCAGATACATCTATCAGCATGCTACTGCCTGTGTAAGTCTTAATGAAGATACTGTGACCTTTCGTAATAAAAGAGACGTTCGGCAAGGAGACAACATGTCTCCTAAATTATTTACAACGTTGCTAGAATACGCTTGTAAAACAATAGATTGGAACGAAAAGGGCATCAATGTAGATGGAAAATTTTTAAATAACCTTAAATTTTCAGATGATATCGTTCTTATTGCAGACAGCTTTGATCAGGCACAGATAATGCTCCAAGAACTTCATACTGCCACAAAAAGATTTGGTCTTAAAATAAATTTTTCAAAAACACAATTTATGACAAATTTGGTCCACAACAAAAACATCTCAGTAGAAGACAAAAATATTGAGCCAGTTGACTTCTATAAATACTTGGGCCATGAGATCAGCATAAGTCGAGACAACCAAACAATCGAGCTGAAAAGAAGAATAAACCTCGCTTGTGCTGCATTTGGAAAGATGCCTCTCCCTCTCTCTCCTCTCTCCTCTTTCTCTCTCTCTCTCTCTTCTCTCTCTCTTTCTCAAAAAGTGAAATGCAATACTAACGAACACTAATGAAATGGCCACAGATTAAAATAAAAAAGAAGTACACGTTGAAAAACGTTAAAATGTTAAAAGTAATAATGAAAGAATAAGAAATTAGACAGAAGGGGTGTGGGAAGAAGACAAATACATGGACTAAGGAACGGTATAGTTAAAAGAGTTGCTTCATTAAAAGATATCGTACCCATGACGATTGGCAAACTTCCTAAATGGAGATGGCACTTAAAAACAAGAAAATACATTTATTTCGTGAAGATGGAATTATAGTCTAAGTAAAAATGAAAAAAAAAATCAGAAACAATAGAAAACAGTATAATGTAATCTCAGGAATTTTAAGATTTTTAGAAGTATGCTACAGTACACTTAAATAATAAAAATATAAAAGTAATACACTATGCCAACGCTGTTTTATTTTTACAACCATATTTATATGAAGATTAGTCCAACTTGAGATATTTTTTACAATATCTGGTGTAGTTTTTTTATTGTTCACTATATTTATCCATTCTTTAACCATTTTATCATATATTTGCCTAGTCCACTTTTGCTATCTGTAGGGCTACTGTTTTTTTTTTATTATTGTTATTTCGAAGTTTTTTGTCTTTGTATTTTAATTCATATTTGTATTCATTTCGACTAATTCCAGCCAAAGAATAATAAATTAATATTCCAATGTAAAAAATGCCAAACCTATGGACATACGCAAGAACCACAGCTCCAGAAAATGTGATTAACCAAAGAATCCATTCTAAAATCCGTCCACTGCGGCAAAGGTCTCCAACTAATTGTCGTGGATGCATAGTCGGCAAGGAACTTCAACCAATTAATAACAAGCAAATGAGAAAACCTATGCTGCCTGGACAACCTCAAAGAGAGCCCAAGGAGTCAAAAAAACTTAAGCAACCCCAAACTACTGATCAGAGCAGAAAAGAATATAGTTAGGTAACTGCAGGAAGAACTACTGCAAATGACACTAAAAATATAATCAGAATTACAGAACATCAAACATTGACATAACACTTAACCTTATTTTAGAAAAAATGGAAAAAGACTGTATACACGAATCACAAACGTAGAAAACACGTACAACGAGCAATTCCCAAAATCAAAAATTGATGCACACCTAAATTTTTTAGAATAGAATGCCAATGGCCTTCTGAAACACCAACGAGAATTGAAGACCATTCCTGATATCGAGAAGATTAATATATGCGTTATCGCCGAAACACATTTCACTAAAGACCTAAATACATCAAATTTAAAGGATATCAGGTAGGTACTATCAGTACACTATTCACCCAGAAAATATAAATAATAGCCACGGATGTGAAAATCAAAACTATAACCTAGTAGTCTATATTGCCCGCCAAAAACATGAAGTACAGTCAGATTTGCACACAACATTTTGGGAGGTGAATACAGTGCGAAAACATACTAAAGAGGGATCAAGATTAACCACCACTAAAGGAAGAAAGCCAACAGATTGGGCAACGGATCAGAATAAAATCCCTGGTATGATAAACTTTTCCATGATTAAGAATATTGTTTCGAATTTCTTGAGCGTCGAGGAGACCTGGAATATGAAATCGGATCATTTCCCCATTATCTACACATTCATCATCAATCAGCCACTCGCGTCCACTGCTGGACATAGGCCTCCCTCAGTTCTTTCCAGTGTTCTCTACACTGGTCCGCTTGTAGCCAGTTTCCCGCTGCACGTTTTATAT